AATCCAACAAACCAAATGAAATTGTTTAATGTTTTCTTTTTTATTTTACATCTGATAAGAGTAAAAAAGAGAGAGAGAGTATGAGCCAAGAGAAAATAGTTACATGAGTATTATTTAACTATATGATTCTCTGGGTGGAATGGCTTTAAGCGCTCCCAAGGTCTGAGGACCTAGCTTTTTTTTAAAAACAATGTTCTCATAAAAGAGATTTTTCTACATTTTCATGCAGCTTTAGGAATTCTTTTAAAGACATTTCCAACAGACAGAAAGATAAATCATATTGAAAACTGTGAGTAATTCTGAAACAGAGAAACTTTTTATTTCTAGGGCTATCAAACTAAATTTCCTCTTACTATTCCTTCACTTACAGCCCAAATTCTCCATGTATTTTGCTAGATATTATTTTATGAACTACAAACAGGGCAGTTACTTTTCCTGCTTCATGAGATCACTTATACTCCAAAAAAAAAGTTTTAAGGCTGATGATGCTGATTGCATCTGAGAAGGCCACAGAAGTGACTGCACCTTCCTTTGAAGATGCAAACACTTTCCTTTCTCCCAACTAGGGTGAGTTCTATCCCAGGATGGCTTTTCAACAGCAGTAATAAACTGGTTTGGGAAATCCTAAGGTGCAAGGGCTCTGCATCTTTAAAAGCCAAACCACAATAATTTAAAAATAAAAATAAAAAGTAGAGGGGAAACAGCTGGCTATCTTGTTCTCCTTCGAGGTCTTCCCAGTTCTTGATAGCTTCAGTAGAGCCTAATCATTTTCTGGCAGTACCCACATAAAACAGATTTTTTTATATTTACTCAGTGCTCTTTGTCAGTTCCTCACCTCTCTACACCCCACCCCACCACACCCCAAAATTATTGTGTAAAAAAATCTGAACAGTGAACTTACAGTAAGTATTCAGCAAGTGTTAATGACAATAACTGTCATTACCCAAAGGAGAAATACATCAAATCTATGTTCAATATTTAAATTTTAAAATATCAATGATTTTAGAGAAATAAATCTAAGTTGAATTCTTTCAAATTGCTCTCCTTTTGTTTTCTTGTTTTCATTTTTGCCATAGGATACATGTGCTCACCAGAGAGAAACAGAGAGAAGGAAAGTGAGAAATCACTCCCTCCCACCCCAGAGGGGATGACCATGCCACAATCCCTTTTCCCCCATTCTCCTCCTGGGATTTTGGGTACACACACATGTGCGCCCAGTGTGATTTTTGAGCTGCCAGGTCCGAGACTTGAACCCTGGTTGACCATGTGGAAATCTAGCATCTTAACCACTACGCCACCTGCTGGTCCCTGGAAAATGTTTATTTTTAAGCACGAAAGTATGTCTGTAGCCTAGTTAGGTACAATAGTTCTGTTCTCAAAGACAATGCTCCAAGGACAAAATGAGCAGGGGATAATCTAAATTCAAAGACTTCAAAGAGATATACAACAAAATGCAATAAAACTTGATTGGTTCTAGACCCAGAAACAAAGATCTTCACATTTTGAAAATAACTTGGGAAATCTGAATATGAGCAGATATGGATGATAAGAAGTACTCATTTTATGAGGTTTTATAGTGATATTGTGGTTACAAAGAATATTCTTTTTCCTGGAAGATGCAGGTTGAACATTTAAATATTTTAGTGTGAAAGTGTAAGAAGCACCTGAGAACGCTCACAGAAAATGTGTATCATGTAAAAGCATGGATGTCAAAACTTTTTGCCCCAAAATAAATTCATACTTTGATTCATCTTTCCACAGAATTTTTTGTAGTTCCTGTGTTTTGCGATAGCTGTACCTTATTTGCAAAGGATTCAGCAAAAAGTTATATATTTAAATAAAGAAAAAGGCAAATGTGATAGTGTTTACAACTGATGAAGCTAAGTGGTAAGTTTATAGATGTTTATTGTATTACACTTTTAAAATTTCTGTAGATGTTAGTATTTATAAATAAGTTTTGAAATAAAAAAAATAAAAAGAAGAAAGTTTTGGGACCAGCAGTTAGCATAATAGCTATGTCGCTGGACTCCTACGTAGTCGACTGCGGTTCGAGTCCCGGACCCGGTGGCTTAAAACTCACGCCGGGCGCGTGTGCGTGCGTGCCCAATATCCCGAGAGGAGAATGGAGGAGAAGGGATTGCGGTGTGGCCATCCCACCTGGGGGGTGATTTCTCGCTTTCTGTCTCTCTGTCTCTCTCTGTCTGTCTGGCAAACGCACGTACCCTATAGCAAAAACCTCTCCAAAAAAAAAAAGGAAGAAAGTTTTACTCAAAACACCACAGTTCTTCAAATATTTTACTGTAACAGTATGCACTAATACAATGATGTTACTTATTTACACTTACAAAAATGATACCTGGAGACCAGCAGTTAGCATAATAGCTATGTCGCTGGACTCCTACGTAGTCGACTGCGGTTCGAGTCCCGGACCCGGTGGCTTAAAACTCACGCTGGGCGTGTGTGCGTGCGTGCCCAAGATCCCGAGAGGAAAATGGAGGAGAAGGGATTACGGCGTGGCCATCCCCCCAGGGGGTGATTTCTCGCTTTCTGTCTCTCTGTCTCTCTCTGTCTGTCTGGTGAGCGCACACACCCTATAGCAAAAACCTCTCCAAAAAAAAAAGATACGTATTGTTTTTTAATTTGTAAATGTTTAATACTGACCGAAAGATTTTGCCTCAAGAATGTATTCTCATCTACATGTGAGGACAGATTAGGGAGAGAAGAGATTCCTGATTACGGTAAAATCTACATGAGACAGAAACATCATTTGAGATATGCTGTATTACAATCAAATGATGATACCAAACTGATTTCCCACGTGTTACCAAAAGGTCATAAGTGCCTTGCTTGAGAAATACCAATCCATTAAAGAGGGAAGTCACATTAAAAAAAAGATATTTGCTTTAAATATTTTGTATATACACACTATACATAAATATAAATGCTAATGATATCATAAAATTTGTAAATGTTTAATACTGACTGAAAGATTTTGCCTCAAGAATGTATTCTCATCTACATGTGAGGACAGATTAGGGAGAGAGGAGATTCCTGATTACAGTAAAATCTACATGAAATTTTTAAAGGCTGACATTTTTAACATAAATTGCTTCACTTAAAATATCTCAATTCTTAATACATTGGCAACATTTACATTTTTAATGTTCTGAATACCTACAAAGTCTTATTTTCTCATAAATATCACTTATTTTACCAAAAGGTAATTGTATTTCTAATTTTTTTGCTAATAAATTTTTATTAGTCTTTTCTAGATGCTTTTTATAAAGAGCTAACAGAAAAATCTGGACAATTAACTACTCTATTTTGAATACATCCTTTCTTAGCATTTCAAAATCAAATCCTAATTCAAACTGATATTTTTAAAAAGAAATTTAAAAACTCAATTTAATTTCAAGAGTTTGCATAGGATAGAGAACACAAGCCACACTTTATACTTTATAGTAAGCACAAACTATAATACTTAAATACAAAATAAAAATAAGAGAGAAAAATACGTTAGCTATTATGAAGGATGAAAATATTACATTAAATTTCATCTAAAAGGCAGCTTTCTACATTTGCATCATCGTAATCCAATGATTCTCTACCGATTTCAGTTACTGAACACATCTCCAGAACCAAATTATCATTCACTTTCATGCCCCTACATGGGAAGTGGTAGGTGAGTATCTGTAGGAATACAATTTATTGTCCGCTCCTCCACTCAGAAGTAACCCTGTGTCTGTCCGGTCTACACTCAGAACTTGTCTTCATGAGCAGCCAGATTATAGAGTGGAGCCTTACAACTTCTTGTATCCCACAGCTTGACCATATTATCTAGAGCCCGAAATCAGCTGCTGTTCATGGGTAGGAGACCATTTTACGGATGTGACCCAGCCTGTATGGGAGGTCAGGGACAGCGATACCAAAGAACCATCTTTAGTTCTGGGATCCCACAGCCTGATATGCCTATCTGTGCTTCCAGATGCTAAACGTTTACAAAGTGATGAATAGTAAATACAATTAAACACTGTATTTCCCTCAAAGTAGACTTAACACCGCCAGACTCAACATCCCACACTCTAATCGTATGGTCCCAAGAGGCACTGCAGATTTCTTCAGTATCTGACCACAGAACCAAGGAAACTGCTTCCTTGTGGCCACAATAGGAGTACCTGTCAAGCCCAGCTGCCCTGTTTTCTGTTTCTTTTTTGGTCGATTTGTAGACTCTTCCATTTCATCTTCTTCATCCATTGGGACTGTTGACCAGATCTTTAGCATGTTATCTCAGGAGCCACTGCAAAATTCAGTTCCTGAGCTATCAACAGCTATAGACTCCACACTTCCAGCATGACCTCTGCAGCAATGCAGAGCTTTCA